CTGAACCCAGGACATTATCCACCCCTTATTCCATACCATTCACGTCATGCTCAGATCCCACATTTTCAATATACCATCACTCTTATCTCAGTGCATGGACCAGTCCCTATAAAGCTGCTGAGTCCATCTGGTCCATGATGTCAGGCTCCATCTCTTGTAACAGTCTTCCAGAGCAGGAGAGACTGTGTGCAGTGTTCACACTCGTGAATAACCTGGGCAATAGTGTCCATTGCTAAGTCCACCCCTTGATCATGAGTCCATCTCTGTGTTGCATCTCTGCTCTGATGGCCTGAAGTGCCATGGGCCCACCAGGCTCAAAATAATTCACTGTCCCCTTAAGCAGTTTCTGCAGCTTGTTGCTGGGGACTCCATACAGCTGCCTTCCATCTCCAACGCTTCCAAAGCACTGGAGGGGCCCAGTGGACTAGATACTTGCCCATACTGTCCCACACACCCTGCCACTCATGACTGTCCAGCCTTGGGGAAAACCTCTTGGTCCCCCCATATCCTCGTCTAACCCCAGACAAGACCCAAACCTGACTCTGCTTAACTTTTGAGATCAGACAAAATGGTTGTGGGTAGCACACAGCCTGTGTGTGTGCCAGCATGCTGATCCCCATCACAATCAGCAGGCAGGTCCCAAGGACACCCAAAGGCCATTCAAAACCTTCAGAACTCTCAGTTGATGCTGCTGTACTTGTCACTGGGGCTGGTGTAGCTGCTGTGCTTGCCGGCTCTCCCACCGCCAGCTTCTCTTTTCCCGAGTCCAGCTCTTCCTCCTCTGCCTTGCTGGGAAATGCTGCGTGGTCTCTTGCATCCTCCTGGGGCTCGGCGGGCGGCTTCCGGGAAACGCTCTCGGCCGTCGCGGGGCTGGGCTCGGCCGCGGGGCTGGCCTCCTCCGCGGGGCTCGGCTCCTCCGCGGGGCTCGGTTCCTCCGCGGAGCTCGGCTCCTCCGCCGCCTTCTCCCGCTGCTCGGCAGCCGCCTCCTTCCTCTCCTCGACCGCCCCGACCTCCTCCACCGGCAGCCGTCCCCTCGCGGCCTCCGGCCCCGCTCCCGCCGCCGCTTGGTCCCCGGGGCCGCTCTCCCGGGCCGCTTCAGCAGCCGCCGGCTCCCGAGGCCGCTCCCCCTCGGCTCCCCGCAGCCTCACGAAGATGGAGAGTAGGGTGAGGGCCACGACGGTGAAGAGCAGCCGGACGGCCAGGTACAAGTCCACGGCCACGTCCATCCCGCCCTGCTGCTGGAGCCCGTCCGTATTACAAGCCATTGCCATAAAGCACAGTGAGACAAGAACCTTAGCCCAAGCCCCATACTTGATAAACACTATCACAGCAAATACCGGCTCTACGTAAGTTACAACATTCTGAAGCTGCGAGATCAAGAGAAACAACTCTGAGAGCCAATAAATCAGCATTGTGACGAGTGACTATTAATCCAGTCAAATTTGTCGTTATCTCAACCCTTCGTGCCCCACGTTGGGCGCCAAAAAGAACTGTCGTGGTTTAAACCCAGTCAGGTAATTCGTTCGCTCACTTCCCCCCCTTTTCTTGCCCTCCCCCTGCTCTCGGAGGGACGGAGAGGAGAATCGAAAAGAATGCAACTCCCACGGGTTGAGACAAGAACAGTTTAGCAACTAAGGTATAACACAAATCACTACTGTTACCACCAATGATAATAATGATAAAGGAAATAACAAGGGAAGAGAATACATCATCTCACCACCAGCCGACCGATAACTCACCCCCCCAGCCCGACCAAGCTCTGACCGATACCTCCTCCAACCCTGCAGTCTCCCAGCCCTTCCGGCTAACTCCCAGTTATATCCTGGGCATGACGTGCTGTGGTATGGAATACCTCTTTGGTCACTCTGGGTCAGGTGTCCTGTCTCTGCTTCCTCCTGGCTTCCCCTCCTCCCTGGCAGAGCATGAGACTCACAAAGTCCTTGGCGAAACCACAACATCGCTTGTTATCAGCTCTGCTCCCGAGCTGAAAGTCAAAACATTGCACTGCACCAGCTACCAAGAAGGGGAAAAAATGACTGCTACTGCTGAACCCAGGACAGGCATTATATCTTTAGTATAAAAGAATATATATGTAGTCTTTAAATTTATCTATCATTCATAACATGTAAATAGCAGAAAAGCATTTTGTCTCCAAAATTTTAAATACTCATTCGAAATTTAAGACCTCAAATTATTCTATTGTGAATGTTAGGAGAGATGGAGGTTGAAAGTTTAATCTGCTTTGGAGTGACTTTCATTTTCACAACTGAAATGGTAGAAGAAAAAACACTACAGATATACTTTGCCTAAAGTACGAGTCAAAAGCTGTTAGAACTGAAAACCAAATGAGTACAAGTTCATTTTTTTAGATAAAATGTCAAAAAGGTGAACTCCATCTTGCAGAAGCAAGAGTGCACTCATGAAAAAAGAGTTCATACTTTCAACATACTTTCACCAAATAGATTGCCAAATGCTACAACAGTTTCAATAAATGCGTAACATCCATTTTAGGATAAGCTGTAAAGAAAAATGTTATTTTTTGCCTTCTAGACTTTTCATAAATTACGAATATGAGTAACTTTGTAACTCAAATGTTTTGAGTATGGAAAAGGCGCACAGACATCATCTTCCTCTCTTAAATACATGGAGACAGAGCACTACACTCTACAAAAAGACTGTGATAAAATAGTATAAAAAACTAACCTGCAGAAAAGCAGGAGAAATAGAGTACTTGATTCAACTGTTGGAAAATCAGAAATACTAGTATTACTAGTACAACACAAATTCTAGCTGCTTAAAATCAGGGAGAAACAATGGACTTAGTCCCCAAATTACGTAAATAGGCTGCACCTTTTAGTACTAAAACCGCAACACAACCGAGGCAAAAATAAAAGCAGAGGAGAACACTGCATAGCCTGTACCTTCAATCTGACTGCCAATTTTGGTAAATTCTTTTTTTACCTCTTTCAAATTAAACAATTCTACTGGGACTGTTTTGCTCAGTAAACAGTTCTGGTAAGCCACTGATTTTGTATTTTTCTGTTCTACCAGTTCCGGTTGTGTGCTGCCATAAATGTTGCAAGACCTTTTTTTACGTGAGGTTTATTTTCATCTTGAACAAATTCTGATAATCCTGACAGAAATCTTTTGAAGACCTCAACTGGACAGAATAAAGACACTTAGCTTCCTTTCCTGAGTGAATATGATGACCATGAACAAATCATATTCAGGCAAACTATTCACTTGACAAAAATACTAACATTTTTTGAGGGAGACTTCCAAAACAGAATGATTATGATTTTGTCTCTGTCCCTATTAGATGAAACAGCACATATTTCTCTGAGAGATGTATATCTGTTTTATCTTTCTCCCCTGGTAATTATACAGAATTATAATATACACTGTCCACAAAAATGTAAATAGTGGAAAGCTTTGCTGCTAGCAAAAACAAGGATCTACAGTTTGACATTTTATTCCAATTTAACTTGAAAAACTCATAGACTATAACTTAGCAACACTCATTTTTAAATGCTCAATATCTGGGACTTCCAACATTAGAAAATAGCAGGTGTTAATGGAGTGAAACAAGTTGTGAGTATGACTTACAGAAATGAGGAAAGATGGATGACTAAATGCCTTACTTTGGATATTGGACTGGTACAGAAAACCAGAACAGTTAAAGAACCCCATGCCAGTTGTGACAGTGAAAGCAATTATTGGTGTCAGTTGAGAGGCAAAAAAATAAAGGACACCATAAATGAAATGAATTGGATTTGAATACTAAAACACTGTTACTAAAGTGACTCCAATTTCAAGATTTTTCCCTGTTGGAAAAAAGCTATAGTAGTAGTGATTTCTCCTTTAAGGAAAGGAAAGCACCATCACTTACAGCAATGATTGCTCTTGATATTATTATTTGTTATCGTACCTTTGTCTAAAATGCCTTCTTACTAATGACTGACTGATGCATAAAGATACCCAAAACATTTTAGTTCCTCTCTTTTGCTGCTAAATCGTTTACTGCAGACCTCATATTCATCACAGGAGATACAATTTTTATAGAACCCTTCCCTATTGAGAATGTTATCCCCATTACAGAAAACTGCTCTGGTAGCCATGTGGTTTAGTATTTTTATCTTTTACAGATTTTAAGTATTTTCTACCACAATGTTGCAATTACTTTATTTTCCAATTTATGTTTTGGGGTGGATTTTTTTTTGGTTGGTTGGTTGGTTGGTTGGTTTTGTTGTTTTTTTTTTCCTGCTTGAAAACATTTGGATAATCTTGTCAAGAATCTGATTTAAGTAACCTATCAAATCTCATTAAAATCCTTGCTGTGCCCAGTTTATATGCCAATAAAATGTCTATAGATCATATTTGCAATGGTTCATTAACTAAGTGTCTGATTAGTTATGTCATATGTGCTGCTGTTAATCTATTACTTTCTCATCTACTGCTGTTTTAATTAGATAGAAGAGGAATTTTAAAACATGCCAACGTGGACAGAAAACACATTCCAAACGTTGTTCAGGTTTTCATGAACTCACACAAAAACACCAGATAAGGTGACAGTTATTTTAAGGTCAACTGGAGGCACTAGGGCTCCGCATGACACTGCAGTGCTGTGGTTGATGATGGGAAGTAAAAGCCAGCTAAGAGCCAGAGTTCTGACTGTCACCAGTGGTTTGTAAATGGATTCTGCTAAAGACTGAAATACACCAAATATGAACCACAGGTCCAGCACGGACACTAGAGCATCACTTCATGTCAGGATACCTTTTCCATTAGCTTGCCAGAGACTTGCTGCCTGAGGGAGTTAAGACTTTATGGCAACGGCAAAAGGTCTCAGAAGCAGTAACTGTTAGGACATATATGGACACGATATTTACAGAAAATATATATAAGCAACTAGAGGTAAAGATAACCAAAATAATACCTGTAAGCACTAGGGTATCTGTCTGGTCAATCTATAATGCTAAAGAAGAGAAAAGTATCTTTACCTGTGAGCATGCCTGAGAAACCAGCAGGTCCAGAGCCACCTGTGGTTGACAAAAGAGTTATGATGCATTAATATGTAAGGGAGAAAAGATCAAGACTGTAACACTCTCTCTAGTTACCTTTCAAATATCAAGCATGATGACTTTTTTTGGTGGGTTTTGCTGCTTTTAAACAATTTGGCAAAGCTCAAAACTATCATCAAGAAAATGGCAACTTCATTAATAGACATAAAATACAAAATAGCATTAAACTTATATAACAGATATGTAACAAATTTTAAATGAATTGCATATAAGATACAGATATTTTGTACTTAACGGAGAAAAGGTTTGTGTGAAAATTCAACACTGCAGCTTCTTTCTGACTGGAGTGTAACAGCTTTTTAAATCGGATGGACTCTAGAAACAGTAAGTTACCATTACACAAGCAATTCAATTAAAGCAATCTTTTGAGATTTAATAACTATTTTCTGTAATGATCATAACTGTGAGAGAAGAAACAAAGTGTTCAGTTTTATTGCAATATTTTACACTCTGTTTCACTCTGCTGCCTCACTAATTTATAAGCTGTAAGTTCAAGAGTGAAAAAAAGAAGCAAACTCAATTATAAACTATGCAGCACAAGGAATATTCTGTTTTCTATTTATTCTGATCTAGTTCCAAATATAGAAAATGGGGTTTATATTCTTAAACATACCACACTAATCATTTAGGGCTAGAAAAATGCTACTCTGTATAAAGACATAGAAAAGATTTAGTCCTGTATTTTAAGTATAGATCTGTGTGGAAGCAACTGCAAGATCAGCATCCCAAGAAGTCAGCCTGAAAAAAGCCCACACATGAAAACCACCCTCTGCAAGTCACTATTACAGAGGTACAGAGTTTTTATTACAGCCAAAGGTGGACTCTGGGCTGGCAGAGTTCTGTCTCATCCCCCAGAAGGGAAGATTTATATATGAACCTTATCTGTGGCTCTCTAAAGTTACATATATCACCTAGATAGGACCCAACCATTTTCAGCATGTTTGGGAGGTATTCTTCCTCACAGCTAGGTATTTGGCACTAGATTGACTGCTCAGTACAGAAAATTAAGTGACAATCTCACTACCATTCTCACCTACCTACGAAGCACTGTACTTTCTCCTGCTGTGCCTTTCTCGCCTCACCCTCTTACTTTACCTGTACCTACTTATCCTCAGTAATCTACTTCTCTACTGTTTCACTATTCAGCCCTTACTTTCCCTCATTCCTTTGTCCAATATATTCCACAATATCCTCCATCAGTACTTCTGATATGTCTGTCCAGATGTCAGATTGTGCTGATATGCTGACTGACTACTTGTGCTAATGGCCATCCCAACCAAACCCATCCACACATCCATCCTCACTGGATACGCAGAATCTGTCCTAGTCACCCCTGGAAGCAAATGAACCTGTATCATGGGACTCAAAAAGCTTCCTCAGACTATCACTCACCTTTGAAGTAGTCTCCTCTTACATTTGACAAATAGCACAATAGCAACTAGACTGAGGCTGTACTGCACAGAGACTTCAGAAATAGCATCTCCCATCCCCAGGAGGGATCTCCCATCCTAACTGTTCTGCAGGGTAGATGGGGAGGAAGGCTGAAGAGAAGAATTAAGAATTCATTCAGACAGAGAAAAAGCTCAAAAGGTTGGAATTTAGTAAAGTATTTCAAAGCCAGTTCTCTGCATACTGGTCTCTATGTAAGAAATGCAAAATGTAAATCCCATATTTCACAGCTCCAGCTGTGAGCAGGAGCAGAGGGCATAAAGTACAATGCACTCCTAGACTCCCTTCTGAGAACAGCAATATGAGGCAGGTCTGCGGGGATTATCAATAAAAGCCTTTGAAATGATCCCTACTGCCAGAAGCTCCCTTGAGTGACTCACTTTCACTCCCAACATTCAAAAAAGGATATATTAGAATTAGATGCAGATACAAGAAATTACAATATTGAATTTTGAATACTTGCCACACAAGAAATAACTGTAACTCAGAGAGGAGACGACAGAAAAGAAATATACCACGAGGACTGCTCACTATCTTTTCCACCAGAATAAATGAGAGGCATGTAACAAATTAACATGGGGTAGGTTCAAAACAAACAAAATGAGCTGTTTGATCAGGCAGTATGTATTACACACTGTGGAACTTAGTTTTGGAAGTAAGCAGAGGTTCAGAAAGCAATTAGACAAACCAACAAAACAGTTATCCAGGGAAGGGTGTTTAACACAACGCCATCCCCTCTGACTCCAGAAGCCTTTAAGATGACAGAATGTTCTATGAGAATCACTACATGCTTGCCTTGTCATTACAGTCTTCCCTAAGCTTCCTGAAGAGCTAGCAGTTACTGTAAGAAATCGAATGGCCTAGGAGGTCACTGATCCCATGTGCTGTTCTCATGCTTGAAATTCAGTGAAATTAACTCATTATGTTTTACACATTTGAGAGTAATAACCTTCTTCTATAGCAGAACAAGTGCCCTGAGAAGGTAACAGCTCTTTCTTGCCTCCTTATATCACATTTTCTGAATGGACACTTTGGAGCATAAAGATATCCTATGCACAAATCACCCAGCATCTGAGAAAAGCAAGTGTATAATACAAAATCAGAGTTGGCCCGGCATCTTTACGAGACTGCTGATATACTTTTCACCCCAGAGCTATGATGGTGCACATTTTGCAAAGAAGTGATGTTCGAGACTCCCAACAAAAGAACGATCTGCAAAGATACAAAAACAATATTCCTAACAGAAGGCGGCAATGGTATCAGAGAAGCTCACAGGAGGATATAAATCTAATAAATCCATATCATTCACAGAACAAAAACCAAACCAAAGAGCAGCAAGGAAATCTGAGATTTGCAAATCTTGCTAACCTTGTCTCTTCCCTAGAAAATTCTTCAAACAGGTTGGTAAATGGCAAACAGCCCTTTTGAGGAATTTGAGAGGCCTTCCTCTCAAATGGGAGGGACTGACAATCTCCCAAAAGTAGGCTTACTACTATTGTACTGGCTTTTTTCACTTCTAAGGGAGAAAAATCCAGCCTTCAGACTGTGTAGAAATCAAAAAAGGCACTGAAAACCACACGGTGTGACCCCAGCTAAATGGAAAAGAAAAGACATTGTATTTTGCTTCCTCAAACCAAGGCCAGAGAAATCTTGCTTTTGTGATTGAGTGTTGATTCTTTTTTCAGAAGTTTCCCAAGTCACTCACCTGGTTTTTGTAAGCATACATAGAGCCCTCACAGACTGATGTTGCACATGACAAAAGCAGACAAATGAACAAAAATGAACAGGAAAGCAAAGCCAACAAGAGCTCCAGTGTTAAATCTTGGAGGCATGCTATTTGCCTTCATCAAGTTTGTCAATTCCAGGTTCTGACACTCCTACACAGGTACAGAATGAAACAGTGCTTCTAGTAATGGCAATGGAAGTAAATGTGACCAGGTGTGAGATTTTGGGTCTCCACAAAAATTATCATGCCACCAAGAATATCAGTGCCTCTAAAGGATCAGATATCCCATCTTTTCAGCATTCTTTAATGATTCCTCTAAATAATGTACTTTGCCATTTAAGATTTCATTTACTTTTGAGATCAAGTTACATAATGCATACATCAAATTGCACAGCTCGCTGATTCTTCATTGACTTATGTACATATTTTTCTAGTCAAATTGTTATGCATATGATAGATCAATTTGCATGTTTTAATAATCAGGGTGCATAATTTACTACTCTAGTTTCATATTTTGTCTGCAATGATCTGCGTTTTGTTGATCCATTTCTGCTTTTAGAGTTTCAATTGACTGCATCTTCCAAGATGAGTTACTGTACATACATTAACCACTGACATTTTACAAAGCTTTATTTAACAGAATGCCTATTTCAGGAGTTGGATGCCTCTTATGTGCTTGCTGAGCTGCATACCTCGCCAGATGAACATACTTCACCACTGGAGACTTCCAGTCATCATGAAGTTTCCCATGCTTTAATGCACAAATGCATATCCCAGATTAAATTATATATGGTTCTGGAGAAGACACTATTTTGTGAAACAAGACTGAACTGAAAATGTAAACGCTGTCATAAATTCATAGTAGTTCTCATTAGTGTGGTTTCATTTTGCTTATTAGAAATAAATTCCACCATCCATAAACCTGTAAAAATCACTATATATTTTATTTTAAGGTGTTTTTTTTGTTTTTTTTTGTTTTTTTTTTTTCTTTTAATATATAGATGAGCATTTGTCTTTTTACTTCCGGGGTGAATATACTTTTCTTTCAGAGAATACATGATGCACACTAACATGGCAACAGCTAGCAAAACTATGCTTTCTTGTGGCATGCATCAGGAAATCTGCAGTCTCTCACAGCCACCTTTCACTTTTATGTAACAAACTAATACCCTTTCCAGGAACATGAAAAAAGCAAAAATCTGAAGTATGAGTGTCTTAATGGCAAGTACTCACCAGAAAGACTGATGCTTCTGATTCTGATCCAGCCTTTTCCCACGATTCACGTTTTTTTCTGTTAAGTCAATTTTTGTCAAGTATGATGAGCCACTGCAACAGAAAACAGAGTTGAAAAATACATGGGTTAAGTAAACTGATTTTGCGTAGAACTTCAAATACCAGTATAGATTTTAGTTACTAATGTCTAGATCAATAAATTCTGTGTGCTTTCAGAACATATAAAGCATACTTTCCTAAGAAACAAATTATTGTGCTTTGTTAGTCAAGACAAAATCTGCTGAACTTCAGGACAAGCAAATATTTAAAGCTGTTATTTTTGAAAAATTGTCCCATCTGTTTCAAATTCAAAATCGGGTGGAATTGAGACATAAAACTGGGACTGAAAAAAAATTGTTTTTCAGTATGACTTCTTTAAAGGAGATTTCAAATGAGTCAATCAACAGGCTGCAATCACAGCAATGGCTCTTTCATATTTCTGAGCAGTTTATTCATTTGGCTAAAATCCTGATCCTTATTACACGTAGTGCCTAAGGGATACTTCCTAAAGTGTTTAATGCATGTTGCAGAAAACTGTATTTCCTAGCATAAACAGAAATGGCTTAATGTGAACAAGCATGAGTGCACACAGAGAGTATGATCAACAGCTAATTAATAGTGTTTTTCATGGCCCTCACAAAAAAGCTGCTTGGAAAAGAAAGATTCACCACTAGATACGGCAACGGTGAACTGAACTTTTAAGACTGTAAAAAGCCTCTTTAGTATACCTTGATCTAAGAAACAACTTTAGAGTAAGCAACAGGTTCCATCCCTCAAAAGATAGCTGCAAGGCCTGGATTACTACTTCTCAAGATCACAGTAAAGACTCTGAGTGACTTCTGTAACACATATTGAAGTGCCTTTGGTTTTCTTTTCATGTTCTGAGTGGAGAGCCTGTAAGTCTCCCCATTCTTATCTTAATGCTGGGAAGAGAAAACATCTAATGAGGCTATCACCCCTTTTCCTCTGGTGCAAGTACAATGCTCTGTATAACAGCGTAATTTTAAAAGAAGGCAAATTGAAAAATAACTCCTTTTCTTCCACATTCCTCAATACTTCATGAGCTACCTCCATGATCCAAATTGTGTTTGCTCCAGTCAAATCCTTCTTCTGCTCAAAACCCCTGAAAACACCTACCTTTGGCCAAACCCCTGTAATATGGAGCTGGTTTGTGCATTTGGCACATGACAGCTTCAGAATTCTCAGCACAATCCATTTAGAGTATTTTCAGTCTGAACTGAACTTGCCTATGATGGTCATACAGGCTTATTCATATTTTGCAATTGTTCATATGATTTGTACTGGGCTTTAGTAAACTTGTCAAGCCAAAAATCCATAATAAATCCCCAAAACAGTACACAGACATAAATTGCTATAAATACCGTCACAACACAGTTCTAGTTAACTAAGTTCATTCCATTATCCTTCAGACAAAACTGATTACTTTTACTTCTGCGCAATAATCTTTATAAACATCACTATTTTCAAAACCGCTGGATTTTTAGAAAGTTCCCGTCCCATCCCTGAAATTGTGGAATAAAGAAAACAACTGTTCTGATAGGAGCAAAATCACAGCACATAAATGATTACCCAAGCAAGAGGGATTTTTTGCTTGATTGGGTTTTTTTGTTTGTTTGTGGTTTTCTGTTTTTATTTTCTTCTGTTTTGTTTGTGGGTTGGGGTTTTTGTTTGGGTTTTTTGTCTGTTTTGTTTTGTTTTTGTTTTTGTTTTTTTGTTTTGTTTTTTTTTTGGTCAAAACTAGGTATTACAACGCAAGCAAAACAGGAGCTCAAACTTATGTATGAATGGACAGAGAACATTTTTTTCCAGTTTCACAGAATCTAAGATGCTGTCATTGGTTATAGCTGCAGTAGCCCAGAAGGTGCAGGGTCTGAGGCAAGCGAATGACAGCCAGCATCTAGCCCCACTTCAGTTTATGCCACTGATCCTTCAACTATCTCTATTTCCAAAACTGCACATCACTGTAGTGATGATCTTCATAATTAAGCATAAGTAAGTCTAAAAAGTTTCACCTCTGGCTCAAAGCATACTGTCCATGCAAAACTGAACATGCCACATATCACCTACCAAGCATACCTAGTATTCGACTAAATCTTAACTTCTTTAAGTGTAAATACTCATTACAGTAAATAAATACAAGTTTATAGGTAAAATGAATTTTGAGAGATGGCTTTTGACAGAATACCAGGGATTGTCCTCTTACTTTTGATTACCATGTGTGATCCATTATTTTCCTACCAAACAGCTATAGCCCAGTAATGCTCCAGAAGACAAAACTCCAATAAAACACACTGATACACATCATAAAAATTTAAAAAGAAAAATTAAAAGTGAACCTGCGTAAAGGTTCTCAATATTCTCATGTTTATGTCTTTAAAATATACGCAATGTTTAAAGTGCCAGATTTTCTCCCCCTCCCCCCATTTCTTTTATGCTTTTAAAACAAGCTTCAAATACCGAAAGACAACTCCTTGTGCCAATGTCAAAATCACCCAGATGAAGATTAGGTAGATGACATCACAGTTCATGTCTTTTTTGTGTTATTTTTAGTTGGGTGATGCTCAGATGATACATGACGCTGAACCTTTTAATTAGGCATATATATCTTTCCTCTAAAGTATTTATCTGTACATTGAGAGGGCTATTAAGTCTCTCCACATAATTATACACTGAGGGGACAAAAAGCGTTCCATCAAGAATTAAGTCCATGCTCTTAAAATGCACCCTGAGCCAATAAAGGAGAAGGAGTACTAGAGAGGAGGATGTGAGCTTAACAAGTCTTCCAGAAAGAAGAAATGGGATGAAGATATATTAAATGTAAATGGAATTCCATTTTTAGTATGTGGTCAGTGATGTATGAGCTCAGAACTGAGCTCATCGTGTGTGAAAAAGAGTAATGGCTGGAAATCAGCTGCACTACCAAATGGAAAATCTCAGAAGAAAGCACCACTATGGCTCAGCTCAGCAGATTTACATAAGGAAGAAAACATCTCCTCTACTACCCAGATCTATTTTGCTCAGCCTAGCAGTATGCATCAAATATTTCAACCTGGGTGCCAAAATTACTGGACATCAAAAACATAGATCCTAAAACAAGAAAAGGAAATGGGAAGACTAACATCAAACTAGGCGCCTAAGTCATTTAAATAAATCAGATCACCATCAAAAATAAGAGCATGCTTAGAGGTTAAATGTGTATTTTACAGTATTTTATGATCTCAAATAATACAGGATTGATTTTAAAAAAGCAGTAAGGATAACATATCTGTTGGAAAATTGTAAACTAGACGTTCACCTTTAAGCACGCAGCCTGAAAACCACACGTGTGCATGTTTATTGTAATCTTTGTTTTAAATGAACTGGAATCAGTCCATAACCTTTTTTGTCACAAATTAAGATTTCTTTAAACATTTATTTAAAAGAATACACACAATTCTTCAGAAAATTATGAGTGTTAAGGGTTCCTTATTATCATTTCTCACTTTATGAAAGCTAATGGTAATATGAGATTTTCTCCTTTCTTCAAAGTTTACAAAACAATGCCTAATAAATCCTCCCAGCTGTTTCATATTTGACTTTATCTACATTTATCCCTCTTTCAATACTGAACTTGAAAGGTTCAAGACAAGAAGTCACTTTCTCAAAATATCCATTTTAAACTGAATTGCTATTTTGGTTTATTGACCCATTGTAAAGCTGACAACTTCACTTCTCTTTAGAAGCCAAAGTGGAGGATTGAATTTATCCCCTTCAGAAAAATCATTTCAATGACATTTTTGTGGTTGATGACAGAGCTCTCAGATTTGTTTCACTATTCCAGGCCATGGGAAGTTTGCAACATTCTGCATACTCACCTGTAGCAGAATGGATGCAAACCATGCTTTTCCATTTAAAGTAAAAGAATGTAAAATGTGTTTACACTTAATCACATACATCATGTAGAATCATTGCCTCCCAAAGATGCTATTAGAATGCAGTTTTTAAATGAAGCTCTGTGCCCTCTGTATTGCCCTGTCAAAGGCCATGCTGTCCTATTTTATCACTATAATGCTCAATTACATCATGATTTTTAATAGAGGGTGTTGAGAAGTCACATTGCCCTTGAATAAGTATGAGTTAAGACTTTATTTTAGCACTTTGAAAACACAGAAGCTATCAAAATACTTAGATGATGTAGGATATATGTCCCTATGCAGTTCTCCAGCAGGAAGATCACCATTACTTCCAGGCTCCTGCAGTAATCAGTAACTGAGTGGATACTTAGTACGCAGAAGCCCTAATATTAAGATGAGCTAAAAGGCAGCAATGGCAGCTAATCTGCACATGAAAGTGCAAGTGAGATGATTTTTTTTTTTGTATTTTCTAGGCATTTACAGGGCTAGATGTCATCTGACATGATTTTCAAATTAAAAGATCAGTTTCTGTGTTGAAAATATCTCAGAAAGAGCAGGCAATTTTTAAAAATTGTTTTTAAAAGGATAAAAATAAGGTATCCAAAATTTTAGGAATTAAAATAATTGAGAAATCAGAACCCTAATTCCTGGGAGTACTCACATCACTTTGTACAACTATATTGTAACACACACGGAAATGAGCCTTCAAGTATATAAAACATCCAGTATGCAAGTGAAGCCGAGCAACTTATCATACTCTTCTGCTCAAAACTGCATAGAGGGGACCCTTGAGAATCACCAGTAAGCTCAGATTTTTGGCAGACATCACAGATGCAAAATTAATTCACACACTTGTGCATGAAATTCCTGACCCCCAGGTACTATGGCCCTTACCTTTTATTGTAAGGATATTTACCTATCTAGCTACTACATATAGCTCACACAGCACTTCTTATTAGATGGGTTAGCAGTAATCCATTTCCATGAATACCAAAAGCATACTAGTCACTATTTATGACCATCTGATAAATGAAATTCCCTTTAAAGTGTATTGAAAACAATATAAAAAACATGCTATGTAAATAAAACAACAGGAAAGAAATTGTTTCTAGCAGAGACTTG